TATAATTTAAAAAGGCTATCAGTTTTGACACACAGCATAAATATTTTTATATACTTTATATTTAAGCTTATTATTGCGCATGAATTTTTTTAGCTAAAAAAATGGATACATCAATATATTATAAAAAAAAAACCCACAAATTTCACTTTAAAAATACCATTCATCAGATTTTAAAACCCAGTTTTCCTTTTTTTCTTAAAAAAAATAATTTATAAATAGAATTAGAAACTCTTATACAGTTGAAGAAAAGTGTAGAGCAGTAGAATTAGCTCATTATACTTTAAATTCGCATGTAGCACAACTTTATTCACTGGATTTAACAATGCTTGGTCGTTGGGTTAAAAAATTTTCTCAAGATTCTTCTCCTCATTCTCAAAAAAATGCATGAAGAATTGGTTCTGAATGTCGTGTGTTTTTTCCTAAAGAGGAGGCTCAACTTTATGAATGGATAATGGTAGTTCATCAGAATGTTCTCGCAGTACTTATCCTAATATAAAACTGAAAATGGCTGAAATCTTGGATAAGAGTGCTAAAAAAACGAAGGATAATTCTAAAAAGCTTGCAATTAATCAGTTCAAGTTTTCAACACATTGGCTTAATCATTTTTTAAAACATCATGATTTTTCTCTTCGACATAAAACTAAAATTGCACAAAAGTTACCAGAAGACCTTGAAAATCAGTTAATTAACTTTCAGTGATTTGTTATTTGCCTTTGTCTAAAAAATGAATATCCTCTTGAAATGATTGCAAATATGGATGAGACTTCAGTTTGGTTCGATATGGCAAGTAGTTTAACTGTGAATCCCAAAGGTACAAAAACTGTTCATATTCAAACAACTGGAAATGATAAGAAGAGATTTACTGTAGTTTTGACATGTTTTGATAATGGTAGAAAGCTACCACCCATTTTTATCTTTAAAGGAAAGGTTTAGCCAGCTAATACACCACCGCCACCAGTGGTGTAATAGTTTGGTTTCAAGAGAAAGGGTGAATGGATAAGTCTGGAATAAATAAATGAATAAAGTATTGGAATAATGCACAGTCAGAACTACATAATTCAAGAGCAATGTTAGTATTTGATTCTTTTTCAGCTCATATCACAGATCGGGCTAAGGCTGAATTTTGTTCAGGAAATACAGATTTGGCTGTTATTCCTGGGGGCCTTATTAGTATATATTAGCCTCTTGATGTTTGTATTAACAAACCTTTTAAGAATAAACTTTGTAAGCATTGACATAGGTGGATGGCAAATAGTGGCAGTAGTCTCACTAAGAAAGGAAACTTAAAATGTGCTGATTTACAGACAGTATATCATTGGGTTTTGAATACTTGGAAAGATATTTCTGAAGGCATTATTGTCCAGGCATTCAAAAAATAGGGCATTTCTAATTGTATTTCAGGAAGCAAGGATCATTTTATCTATGATAGTAATGAGGATAAAGAAAATTCAAATGAAAATTTAAATGACAATGAGTCTGATGATGATAGTGTAGAAGAGGTGTCTAACGATGATAAAGAGTTGATGTTTAATGATGATGAAAAGATGGTGTATGATGATAGTGAAGAAGTATCTGATAATGATAGTGAAAAAAAAGAATTCGATGAAGATGATGAACCTAATAATAATGACTAATCTGATAATAAAATAGGAAGTAATTAAATTTCTTTGTCATAATTGAAAGTATAGATAAGAATCATTATTTAAAAAACATAATTTTACATATTGTAAATTAAATTTAATTAATTAACTTTATATCTCTTAACAGATTTAATGTTATCATTTATTAATTAGACTTTACATAATTACAAATGATGATTAAATCTATTACAATGATGCAATAAAGCATAATAAAATCTAGTTTTACTAATCATGTGCCTCTTTAATTATACAATGGATTTCAAACATTAATGTAAATTATCATATTTTAAGTTTATTTTTTATACATTTATTTGATTTACTTATTTATTTATGTATTTATATATTTATTTATTAATTTATTAATTTATTGATTATTTATTTGGTATCAGATATCATATGAACAACAGATGGTGTAATATGCATTATTGAAGATATTTTAAATGCATTCAAATGTTTTAAGATATAAGTCTTTGTATTTTTGTAATGAATAAGCAAAAATCTACAAAAATAATGATAGCATTAAAACAACTCAAAAGGTTTCTATTAAATGGTTTGAAGTTATTATTAAGTTATATAATATTTCTTATAATATTATATGTGCAAAAACTAGTCTTAATTAGTTTAATATTGCTAATAAAAATCATATAGTATTAAATATTGAAAAAATTGCAACAATATAAACTTAAATATTTACTTACAAAATTCGTGTGCCTTATCTAATTATTAATCCTTAACTGCTTTATTCTTATCATTATTAAAAATAAAAATCAGTTTTATATAATAAGTACATATGTCATACTCCAGATTGAAATCAGCTTGATTCTCATAGACAGAAGTTTGTCTAATTGGCTAATAAATTCAATTAATTTTACATTATTTATACAGTTTAGAGTACTTTTTAAAAAAACAAAAACTAATCATAATGAAATAAAAAAAGCTGGTATACGTAGAAGGTTTCATTAGAACTGTAGAACTTAATAGCCAAAAATAAGATCTAACTCTCATTTGTTTAAAAAAGTTAGTATAGTATAACTTCTCAAAACCTGATAAAATCAACTTAATTTTTTTAAACAGATGAGAATTAGATCTTATTTTTGACTATAGAGTCCTACAGATCTAATAAACCTTTTATATAGTTTTTTTTTATATTATTGTAGTTGGTTTTTGTTTTTTTAAAAAGTACTCTAAACTGTATAAATAATGTAAAATTAAATTGAATTCATTAACCAATTAGATGAACTTCTGCTTATGAGCTTGATTCAGAATTTAGTTGTCCTAGTTTAGAATCAGATTACTCAGCTTTGGAATTCTTAAACAGGTTACCCAGCTTGAGAATTAGTAAGATTAGAGCTAGTGTTAGCATATTATAATTATAGTTCTTAAAACAGATACTTTGTTTAAGAATTCTAATGCCAGGTAACCCAGTTCTGAATCAGGACAACCAGATTCTAATCAGACGAATTCTAATTCAGAGTATAACATATATGTCTTTAGTTTTGTATCATATATCTATTAATATATAAATTATATTTAGATTTTTATCTTTTAGTTATGTATATTTGTAACAAAATTTTTATCTTGTATATTGTTAAAAAAGAATAGTAGCTTATTTTTGGAATAAACATTTTATAGCAATTTGGATTTGAAAACACAAAGTAGCATATTTTTGGATACAAGATATTTTTAAAGTTTTTTGATTAAATTAAAGAAGTAGCTTATTTTTGGCAATATACAGTAGTAGTTGGTTTTGTTAACAACTTGTATCTAATTTGTTCTTTCAAGTTTTGAAGTGAGATTAGTACATCCTTGGTTTTTTGTCACATCCAAATTGTTGTATCAAATGATTTTAGTTTTTCTTGTTTGATTTTTTCTAGAGCTGTTTTTTTTATTCTTTTTCTTTATTAGCTTGAAAATAAGAGTTTGGGATTCTTCTAGTTCTTTCTGAAAGGTTTTTAACTATTGCTTGGCTGTACAATTTTTTTTTCTGTAGCTGTTCTTCAAGTATTGTATTAGTTGATTAGGTTTCTTCATTGTTGTCATTTTCTATGTTTGTTGATGTGTGCTCTACTTCCATATTAGGTTGTTGTTCTAGTGTGCTAACATTCAAGTTGAACTGGAGCATTTGGTTAAATAGGGCTAAGTTGTTTGTTTTTTCTATCTGCATTGACAAAAGAGGAGTAGCATCTATATTGTTTGGGTTCTGAATTGGGTCTTGCTCAGTTTGGTTGTCTGTGAGAAGATTTGAGATTGTGGTTGTTGTTGTTTTGTATAGTAATGTCATTGCTAGATTTTTTAAGAGTATGTTAGAATTTTTATTTTTTTTAATTTTTTTTTGTTAATATTTTTTTTATTGCTTACTTGTATAGGGATAGCAATTTTGCTAATAGTTTTACGCTTCTTCTTGTTGTTTTGTTTATTTATAGTTTCTTAAATGAATCATATTTGTGTATACTGTTTGGAATATTTGTTTTAGAGCTTATCATTATCTTTGCTAATATTGGTTCCAGTTGCTGACTTAGTCAGCAACAATAGTGAAAAGAAGACTGAAATGCAAAAAGCTCTCTTGTGACTTCATTTAATTCTATTGAAGTTTATGTTATACTGTTTGTTGATGATAGTATTTAGTTAATTAGTTAAAATATGTTTTAGTTCAGCTTTTTTAAAAAAAATTTTTATGTTCCTAATTTTGCTATAAAATCAGGATTTTTGAGAAAGAGTTTTTTTTTATATATTAAGCCTCTTTGTTGTTAGATTTGTAATATTTAATTGTATTAGGTAAAATTTATATAAGGATGTAGGTTGAGCTGTTTTTAGTTGCTGCAAAGTTAAGATTACTTATAATTGATGTTAAGTAATAATTTGGTCAAGGCAAGTTGTAAAAATTTTTGTAAGATATTTGTTAATTGGTTCAATAAGTGATATTAGCCTGACTTAGTTTAAAGTAAAATTCTATAAGGATTTTTTTGGGATTAGGAAAATGTTAGATGTTTTTTATATTATAGATACTTGTTGTAATAACAAACATTTAGTTAAAAAAAGTCAAATGATATTTTGAGCTTTTGAATTTAGATATTTTAAATGTTTATAATTTGTTTCTAATAGACCTACTGCTTTTTGATTTGGAAGGTCATATATAATTTTGTTCCATTCTTCTATAGAAATTTCTAAGAATAGATCAATAAAGTAGAGTTCATTTTTTAGTTGAGGTTTATAAAATTTATAGAATTTTGTGTTTTTTTAAATTAGTATATAAGATAGTTCTTTGAAGTAGTCTTGAAAATAGAATTGTAGAGCTTGCTTAATTTCAGATAGTTAAGTAATAAGTGTATTGTTAGATAGTAGTTGATCTAAATTAATGCTATTATTATATTTTTCTAAGACATTATGAAATAATATTTTAAAATTTTGATAGAAGTTTTTATTTCTAGTTTGTTTTGAATTTATTTTAAAGTTTTTTTTGTTTTTCTTTAAAGATTTGTGTTTTAAGAGTTTTGATTTCAATAGTGTAAGAATTGAAAGAAATAATAGAGTTTGAATTGAAATTAGTTGATGTTGGGCATGGGAATAGTAGTATAGTATTATTTAAATATTTGTTAATATATGAATTGTAGATTTGTATAAAGTTGGGTTTGTTAAGAGTTGTTTTAAGTAGAATGGCTTGTTTAAGTTATTTGTATAATGGTGTAAGTGTTGGTGCTGGTTGTTTATTTTGATATAGGTTTATTTTGATTTGTTTAAATAGAATATG